TCATTATACAATTCATTTTATGATATACTCACTTGCTTCTTTTACTTTAGGATCAAAATCATGGAAAATAGATTTTGTTGTATTTTTGCATTTAATAATATTTCACAAACTCTATAGATTCTCATCATATATGTCATTAATGATTACGAAGCTATAACAGTTTTAAAATACACTTGCTTTCCCTTATAACCTCTGAGTCAAGGTTAGTCATAGAAGCATTGAAGGTCTTAATTTTTTAATGGATCTTTTTTTCATACTTGTGGTGAATCATTAAGAAGCTAAAACAATTAATTTTGGTGAATTCATGCTTGCATCACTGACCTCGGGGTCACTGTCCCTGAAAATGTGCATTAAGGTTTCGGCTAAAGTTTTTCATTTGCTTACATTTCCTAAACCCCTTGATGGATTTTCTTCTTACTTGGGATTAATTTTTATGAAGCTAAGACAGTTCATTCCATGGCATGTACTAGTGCATCTTTGATCTTAAGGTTAATGTTATAGTCATAGGAAATTTCCTTTCAAGTTTTGGTTCAAGTTTTATCATTTGCTTATATTTCTTAAACCTGTTGGTGGCTTTTGTTCAGCCATTGGACAAAATATTATTGCACTAAGACCATTCATTCTGTATCATGCTCATTCAACCTTTTGACCTTGTGATAATGTCACACATTTTAAAGAAATGCCTGAATTGTGGGCTTGACATTGCTAGTTACATATACCGGTAATCTCTCATTTCATTTTGATTAAGAAACAGCAGTCATAACTTGCATCAATTGTTGTTCAAATTTTCCAAAATCTTGAGTTCTTGAGATAATTAAAGTTGACAGTGACCACACATAATGCATCATTGTTATTCTTGTATGCATTTTTTTAACCATTCACACTATGTAGCAAAATCATTATCCATAACTATTTCCCCTTTAGGTCCCCTACCATGGATGCCTAAATTCAGCATATGCTGTATTTGTATAGCAATAAAACTATCAAGGATTGATCACAACTCATATCTGCATTTTCAATAAATACATTTTCAAGTTAATGTTGATTATAGGTCTTCATACTGCTTTTGGAGCTATTTAAAGCATCCATGATGTGGAAAAATTTTAACCCTTTAATATTTTCCTTTATTGGTCCCTACTATTGTGCCTGAATTTTGTACAAGCTTCCCCCTGTGGATATAAGCATCACTCTTTGATACATGTCCACTTGTTTGAATTCATGCATTTTAAAATCTATTTTTATTACTGCTATTCAGACTTACACTTAAGGCCAACAGAAAGTTTTTATCATAATTTAAAATAAAATATTAAATTTTGATTCATACTATGAAGCCAGTGTAGTTCTGACATACTGTGAAACAACCTACTTACAAACCTAATAACCTATCCACCAACCTACCTTGCTACTAATTGACATGAAATAATTAAAATTAAAATCATTCTTAAAATTTGCTTGCAAAAATATTATTGTCCACTGGGTGAAACTTTCAAGCTGAAGTAACCTTGCAGTGGCAGCAAGCAGTAAAAACATATGCATCAATATTTATGTGAAATGTATGCAGCATTTTTAAAATACTCATTCACATCTACCATATACATTTTGGATGTTTTTGTTGGTTTTAACAACACCAACAAAACATTAATGGTAACATTATGCCAAGGAAATGATATCTAAGTGCCTTTCCAAAGAGCACACCCAGGCTCCTGGTTGACAATGGTTAACATTATGCCAAGGAAATGATAGCTAAGTGCACACCCAGGCTCCTGGTTGACCTAGGTGGGTATCAAACCCATGACCTTTGGAGTATGAATCTGATGCTCAACTGAGGGAGCTTGTGCGTGGCTCGCTGTATATTATGCCCTTAACCTGTTGATGTCATAAAAATGGAATGTTTACAGCTGACATATTTATTCCTACTTTCTACTACACTGGCCAGAAAGGCTTTATTATGCATACTTCGAGTAAATAGTCACTATGAAGTTGAATCTCAGCTCGGCAAAGGTGGGTATGTGAGAAAGCTTGCTAGTAGCTTCCCATGTCTCTGGTCCCTTCCAGGATCTTCCTCCACCAGATATACTGTCCACAATGTATAGCTTGGCATATAGAAAGCAAAGAAATCTGTTTAGTAGGTGACTTCAATTACAATTTGCTTTATGATGCCAATCAAAGCTGGATTAAAACCATGAATTCCCTGAATTATCAACAGCTAGTTCATGTACTCATTAGGACAACTGAGGTATCTGAAACAATAATTGATCATATCTATGCTAAAAATGCCGACAATATTATAGAAATTGCAGTTTCCCAATATTCCATAAGTTGTTGTTGTTGTTGTTGGGCTTAATGCCATTTTTCAGCACAAGATAGGCTATTCATGGCGGCCAGTATTAATGGTGGAGGAAGAAACCGGGAAATCACCGGAAAGAACCACCGACCCACGAGAAGCTACTGGCAAGCTTTCTCACATATCTACATTAGCCGAATCCTAGACTCGAACACACGCAGACAGAGGTGAGATGGCAGTGATCCGTAACGGACAGCGCTTTAGACCACTCGGCCACTCGGGGCCTCTTATTCCATAAGTAATCATTATCCTATATACTGTACACGAAAATTAAGCTAAAAAGATAATCTTATCATCACAAATACATCAAGTATTGAGTAATGAACAGATCCAATTCACAAATATTCCTTAAAGAACTGAAAGATATCCCTTGGTCAGTAATTGAATCTGATGACCCATCAAATGCTCTTGACAAATGGACAGATATGATTACTGAGATCCTAAGCACTCATGCTCCTATTCATTTCAAGAGAGTCCAGCAACAAAATCAACCATATTGGATTACTGGTGATATACTGAATGCAATTAAGACATGGGATAGATTCCATAAATTAAAAGATACCAACAATTACAGATTATGGAGAAACAGAGTGAAGTCAATGATTCAAAAGGCAAAGAAAACTTATTTAATTGAAATATCAGATAGTATTACAAAGAATTACATAGAAAACTCTGGAAAACCTTCACTAGTTTGAGAAGCAAATCTGTCAATAACCTGCCATTTTCATGAATTAGTGATGAAAATGGTGATATTCAGCAAGAACCTTTTGAGACTGCAAATGCACTCAATAATTCCTTTGTGAATATAAACAAAAAAATTGTGGATTTCACAGCTCATAAATGATTCTCCAATGATGAATTAAATGAGATTAAAAACTTAGCCAAGACAAGTGTCAAAATACCTAAAATAAGTCCTGAATTTTTTAAATGAATTAGACCAACTTATCAGAACAGCTAAAGGTCAAGATAATATAAGTTCTAAATTCCTACAACTCTCATCTCAATTGATTGTACTTACACATATATATATATCTTCACTCTAATTATTTCCATAAGTAATTTTCTAAACAGATGAAAACTGGCAAAAGTAACTCCAATACATAAGGAAGATAAAGTTCTGGGTTTCAGTCCTAAGATATGATCGTTATTACGTACCCTGTACTACGGACATATTATACAATATTAACTGCTATTTTGATAGTGGCAAGCCTCATTTTCCTACTCATGTACATATATTCACCAAAAACAACAAAAGTCTGTTCTTGCTAAAGAAAATTAAATTGTAATTTATTACAATGAGATTACTGTTCTTATAATAATACAGGTTGCAAATAAATTTAGGAAAAATATCTCATTTAATTGCTTACAATTTACCTATTGATAAAATACATATAACATTTAGTAAATGTATTATTTATGTTTACCCAAATTACAAGCAATGATATGAGCACCTGTGACTTGGATCTTTCAAAAACTTTCCCAACACAACACACCCTAATAGCAATATCAAGAAATACACTTCGATTACACATGCTCTTTTTACACAAAAACACATTTCATCTCTCTCTCTCTCTCTCTCACACACACACACACACTGTATATTCACTAAAACCAACAAGGCTTAATAAAACTGAGATCATATATAACATCAGAGACTTAGCCAAAGGCGGTAATGAAGATTGTAATTTTGTGCAGACTAATTCTTCGTTAATTTTTATGGTGAATTTAAGGATTTCAGTTGGAGTAAATTTTACTGAGAAACAGATGTTTAATCTAAATTTAACGTTCCACAAAAAAAAAACATTCAAAAGTTAAATTTTGAAGATTTTTGCCACAACTGATCTGTATATTTATTATATATCTTTCTGATGTATATACAAATTAGTCAAAAAATATCTGACCTCCTATCTCCTCTAATGAAGTGAGCTACATATTATATCCCTCTTGAAAATATTTATTGCAAGCAATATTACTACCAAGTCTGCAAGTCATGCTGTTTGTCATATGCAGGAAAACTACTAACTTTGGTAACACTCCATCTAGCTATTAAGGAGATTATAAAAAAAAAATTACAAAATTAAAAATAGTGTATAATTACAAATAATTACAAAAGGAAGAATTGACAGAGTGTAGAATTACAAATAATTACAAAATGAGGAATGATGAGAAAGAGGGTATAACAAAATCCTGCTGCTAACACGAGTAATTATTAATAAGTTTAAACATTATTACAGCTTTTATTATATCATGTTGGATAGTGTTCTTCTCAAGTAACAATTGCTAACATGACAAGACTTATCAAATTTAATCTAGTGTTGAAATATTTCACTTTTCATGTGAAAAAAACATTAACTGATAGTTTCTAAATTTGTTCTAAGCTTCCTTCCCCCAATCATTTGCACAATAGTAGTTGCTGTTGTTGTGAGTTAGATTTTTTACATAGCTTTAACAGTTTTTCAGTCATATCCCTACAATGTCTGCATTGTGGCAGTTTATAGTGATGTCTAACACTGGGGCATCATGCTGCAGACATGTAGCATGATGTCCCACCCAGTTCCATTATCCTGACACCAGACCAACCAGTCCTAACACTAACCTCTTAATGCTGAACGCCAAGTGAGGCAGCTGTTAGTACCATTTTTGTAAGTCTTTGGTATGTTTCGGCTGGGGATCAAACCCACAACCTCTCACATGCGAGGCAGAAACTCTAACCACTAGGCCACCGAAGCAGTCTTTTTTTATGTACTAAATTTTTTTAATTCAATGCTTTAACTCCTGTTATTTCAAATTTGATAAAAATTAATAGTTTCTGAGTCATTTATGGCAACTTCAATTAGGTACAATTGGGTAATTACTTATATTAGGACTGGCCTATAGGTTACAAGATATTTACCTGTAAACACAAATCCCATTACCAACAGATCCTGAAAAAATACAGACTAATATCAAGAAATTATGATGAGGCAGCTTGTGTAAAGTAACATGCATAAAGATATTACAAAAACCAAACCAACATTAAAACATGTAACCTACGTTTCATCACATACTGGATCAAAAAAATATTAATTAATCTCAATGTAAAAGATTAAAGATAAACAGGGTGCTACATATACATGGTTGAAAACAGAAATGTCATTAAAGCCTTAAAAATCAAGTCACATTCACCTATTTTGGATATCACTGTTATTCTGGAAATGATTATATACATAAACTATGATTAGCATATAAAAACACTGCTGAAAATACAATAATCATTTAACCCTGAACCCATTAAACACACAAAGTTTAATGAGTCTAAATATCTAAATATATTAGGATACAATATAAAGAGTGTGTAACAAATGATAACCTGAAAATAAATGACCATTCAAGTGTAAAATAAGGTCACAGTTACTTTTTTTTGGTATAGCTGAATTTTCTTGGTGACGCATCCATAAACAAAGTTTGATGATTGTAGATAACATAGCTTTAAAAAAATGATGATGGTATCATAAAAGTCACTCGTCAAAATAAGGTCAAAGTGATCTACTCTGGTATGGTTGTTAAACTCTCAAGGAGACATACTCATAATAAAGACTTGATGAATCTAGATGTAATTACCATATATAATCAAGTATAAGCTGAAAAATTTCCTACAAAATAAAATCCTGGATGAAAGGGAAGGGTTGGCTTATCCACAGGCCAAGGTTTAAACTTGAAATGTTTTAAGTTTTTTGTCAACTAACAGGATATATTTTTATTGTAAATCACTGAAGACAAGATCACATGCCTAATGCCATTACTGCCATAACACAACATGTCACATGGGATCCTACCCACAAAATTATTTCAACAATAAAAGCCTTTTATATCTTGAACTTTGGAACATTAAACTCCTGCTCAAAGCTCAGGTAAACCATCCTCTAGGCACACAGCCCATATAGAGACAATTAAAAGGTAATGTGCTGGTGCTCTGAAATAAACAACCAATATTCAGACATTACTTAATTGGCAGACAATAGCTAGGATGACATGTGGTGTGAAATTCTGCTGTGGACCAGTCTTGTGACTGAACTCTGAACTAATTTTTATAGGTGAAGTGCACAAAGTAGAACAACCCAATTAATTTCAGACATCAAAGAAACATGATCAAGAACACTGATGTTATTACACATCAATGCATTTAACAAGAATGTTGAAGCCAATTTTAATAAAGTTTGTGATCAGTAGCAACATTTCTTTGAAGTCAGAATTTTACTCCATATGTAAAAACATGCAAAACATGATTATTTCAGTTCTAGGAATAGGGTTTAAGTGTGATTCATTTTGAAGAGTTTGATTCAGGAGCCAACAGGCTATCAGCAAGAAATAAATTTCAAAACTTGACAGTTTTTTTTCATTAAATCATTAAATCCAGCAACAAGAGAAAGCATTTAATTCTTTGCACATACTGCAAACAACATACGGACAAAAGTGTACTACATCCAAAAAAAAGAAGCACCACCAGTTTGTAGCAGATTCAACACCCAGATTAGTTCTTTATTATTTTTTGTTATATTAATCTTGGTAAAATACTAACTGAATACTAATGCATGCTTCTCAGGATGATTTTAGCCATGAAAGAGATTGATAAGCACACACACATTTGCACAGTTGATATGTGCTGATAACGCATTAAAACACGAAATGGGCAGAAGCATTTATTATTACTGAATAACATGTACCTGTAAAGACCCCAAGAAACCTTAAATATTATATTTCTTCCCTTTCCCCAATGAAATGGTCTATCGCAAATTATATTAAAGATAGCTTATTCTCAATATGACATCAGTTTGAAGGTGTCACACACACTGCACCTACCACCATTGGACCTCAAAAAGTGTTTGAGTCTCAGAAACCACTCAAACACTGTCCAAGAATATGACAGGAAATAATAATGATGCTACATAGCTCATTAGATAGGCGATATCATGAAATCAAACAAGTATTTTTTCTAAATTTTACAGGCAGAACAATGAAAGAAAAACAGGCATCACTGTAACATGATAAAGCATGGGGTCATGGTCTCTTATCAAAGCCATAACTGTTACACTTGCTTTAAGTGTTTTATATCTAAAGATGTCCTCACTGACAACCAATTATATTTTGTTAACTGAATCAAGTAACCAATAGTAAAAAAAGAAAGAAACAATGATAAATAATTATCCAATACAATCTGAAAACCCATGGAAAAATTACATATTAAGTATAAATGGGATAATGCCACTATGAAAATTTATTTAAGTAGTTCTTCCTAGAAACTTAAGGCAATAGATAAAATGAAGAGTTATAAAAATAAGAAAGCATTCTGCTGCGGCAGAAAAAAATTAAATTAAAATTTAAACATTTTTTAATTTGCCAAAGCAAAAAACAACTGTGCTGCAGTTTGCAAATTTTGTTTACATGTAGTAGGGAATGGTGGAAAAGGAAAGCAGCATTAGAAGAGATGCCAAGATTAAAGAAGGTGTGCTGGACTTGGATCACTTCATTCTCTGAATTAAAAAGTAATTTTGATAGTGAATGAAGATAAAAGGGATACATTGTCATAAGAACTGCAATTCATCTGCTTTCTATGCAAATGACAAAAGATGCCAAATAAAAGTTGGCAGATTCATCAAAATTTGTTTCATCAGCCGGTAGGTGTTCACATTTTAGGAATCGGCAGAGTTTCAGTCTCAGACAGTGAACAAATATCGCACAAAAGCAACTAAAAACTTGCAAAAAACCTGATTTATTTCAGAAGTTTATCATCCAACACAGGAGTGTACATTCAAAATATGCAATTTTAATATTTTCAACATATAAATTAATGTTCATACATTAATTTTCCTTAGGCTTTATTTTATTTTAGTAATGTGGTTTGCCTAAATAAATGTATTTAGAATTTACTGTGTGCATCTTGCGATATCGTCTCGGAGACATAGGTCAGTTTGTGTAGGTCATGCACTTTTTAATCTTTTAACCTTTTCAGTTTGTTGGGTCAGGTTATGTGTGAATATGCAAAGTATATACGGAAGGCTGTGACAAACAATTAACTGAAAATACACAAGTCAATATCGAAAAATAATTAGTCACCTATCTTTTATATAAATTCATTCACACTCCTTGAAACTCATCCAAACAAAAGCTCTAAATGACTGTAACAGGTCAAGATATTGAGGGCACAACAAATTAATGAAAAAGTCCCTAAAGACTGAAAATTATATCACAGTAACCTAATTTTTGTATTTACTCTTCTTCAGATACACTAAAAATCAATTTTTATAAAAGTGTAGTTAAAACAGAGTTGAGTACATTGTGGGTGTAATGAAGGTATGAGGAACAAATGATAAAACACATGAACACAAACAAACCAAACAGCAAACTGATACATCCCCTCACAACTTTGTTGGTAAGGTTAAATGTAATCAGCTTATGCTAAGGTTGACTAATATGCAAGATGAATTAATGAAAAAACAGATCTAGTTGTGTCATGGCTGAAAATACAAGTAATGAAAAAAATTTTATACAAGTTTTGAAAAAATAGATCTAACTGTCATGGCTGAAAACACAAGTCTGAACAAGAGTCTCTCAAAGGGACTGAAGTGCCAATCTACTTTCAGAAAAGAATTTTCCAAAATTTTAAGACAAGACCAGTTCTACTTATTGACGGCTGAGATTTGACATGATCTCTGATATTCTTCAGCAAATAGAATTTCAAATTAGCCACTGAGCAGCTAAACATTTTAGTCACCATCAGAAGACTTTTGAGGGAAAACCCCACATTGATAATTTGTGACAAGATTTTCAATATGTTCATTGTGGCAACCATATCTGAGGTCAGATTGGCACCATTCTGGTTGAGATCCAACAAGTTATCCTAACTGCTCCTCTGGTGAAACCCTCCATGTCAATATGACTTTCCATTTAGTAGCAATAACAAGATTTTCAAGATAGCTGACATGGTTACCATGATACTGGATGTCAGACTGGTTCCATTTTCACTTAGTATCAAGTATCATTAAAAGTCTTCTGGCAAAAAATCAATTTTGATATGCATTCAAATAAAGCAATGAATAGTAAAAATGTTTTCAAGGTGGCTGTTGTGGTAGCCAGATTGGATATCAAATTAATACAATGTCTGACTAGATACTATAAGAAGTCATCTAGTGAAAACCTCATCCTGATCTGGTTTTCCATTCTGGAGTAGCAATAACAAGATTTTCAAGACAGCTGCTGTGGTGGCCATCATTAACGTCAGATCGGCACCATTTTCACTAAAAACAAACTAGATGGAGCTTATCAGGGAAAACCCCATTCAGGAGGAGTAGAAAAAAAACAAAAACTTTTAAGATGGCCACAGTGGTGGCAATAATGGATGTCTCAGTGGCAGCATTTTCATTTAAGACCAAACAGACATTGGGATAAATGTGTATGTCATGATTTTTGGCCGTCCTCCAAGCAGTTTTGGAGCAACAACAAACTTGCACTAATGGACAAATGGACATCATATGTAAGACAACAGACAGCAGATTTTCCCATAAACTCTTCATGTTTATGACCAGTAGAGCTAAAAATACAATAAACATACATAACTAGTACTTAATTAATTTTACATTAAAATGAAAAATCTTTAAGAACAATTTTAAATAGTTTAAACTATTCATTTACTCATGAAGATATTTTAAATCATCAACCAAATATAAAATTTGCATTAGAAGTAAAGCCTAGA